ATTTAGTTTTTTTGAGAATTAATTGTTTGCAAAATCTCCCAATATGTTACATTTATTGACTCCAGGTTATTGCCATAAAGTGCCTGCAGTACATCCCTTCCATTACTGCTACCGCATTTCAGCTCCTTTTCTTTATTCCAATACAACCATTTGTTGTCAATTTTCATACGATCCTCTCTAACTATTATATTACGACTTTGATCTACAGCACGTAAATTTTGTTTTAGTTTAAGCATGACCCGTTTATCTGATTGTTGTTCTGCGCTTAAGTCCCTCTCAATTGATATTTCCGTATTAGCGAGTTTTTTAATATTGTTGAAAATATTAAATATACACTGCTCTGCTTGGAACTCTGCAACGACTCCTATTTTGTCGTGTTTCTCAAATATTTTTCTTACAGAAGCTATTTGCACATCATCGACGTTCAGAACTTCAGCACATAATTTCCGAATCGACAATGTTGGATTGTTAGTTTTTTTCAAACCCTTGATAACAAGCGATTTTCGTTTTCGTGCGTTTATAATATAATTAATATTACGTGCATCCCGTTCGCGTTGTTGTTCGAGCTGCGTCACCTTCTGTTTTAGCACACGATTCTCTGCCGTTAGCTCTGTAATCTTACTAGAGAGTTCGCCCACTTCCGACACAATCACCTCTAAATCAGCTTTTGTTGGCAAGTTGCTTAGCTTTTCATCCAACAAGTCAGCCAATGATGCTCTCATTAACCCCATCAGTTCTGTTATATGCATATTCCCTACTTGCATTGTAGATTTCGCCTGGTTTATTTCTTCTGGGGAAAGTTCAGTCAATGGTCTTTTAGCTGCTGAGGTTCTTACTTGTATTTTTGAAACTTGCGTACTCGGTTTATTTGGTGTTCCTGCTGATGACATTTTGGAAGTTGTACTTTAAGTTTATCAAATTCAGTTTTTGATGCTTCGCCTAAAAGTCTATGAGAAAATTTATATATATATAACAGCTTAATACTTTTTTTAAAAATTAGAATTTGTTAGCATAGACTCAAACCACTCTGAGCTTTACTACGTATAATTCGCCTTACGTTCCACTTATTTTCAGCACTTTTATTTACAATTGGTAATTACAGTTTTTGCATGCAACGCTATCTTGCCTGCAGAAGTCTCAATTGTATAAGATTGTACTAAACTTCACTTTTAACCGCTCACTTGAATGCGTTGCAATGTCTTGAATGTTTATTTATTATTACCACCCAATTGTAACCCGTTTTTCGCAATATAATTCACTTTTATTAATAAACTTTTCCGAGCGCGCACTTATTTAATATGTTCCTCTAGGGTTGCCAAGTCAAACACTCGAAAATACTAATGTATATTAATATAAAAAACTAAAGTTCTTCAAATTCTTAAGGACGATTATAAATTATAGTCGAAATAGAGAACAAATAATAAAAAACAACTTTGAAATAGTAAAAAAAATCAATTTTCTATATTATTTTTTTTAAACAAAATGTCTTCGTTAACATGGACTAGGCCTCCTGGGGACACCATGTAAAAAAAAACGCGCAATGCATTATACCTCAAAGGTGGTCTGGAAATTAGTACGCAACTAGTAACATGAAAATTGTCACTTCTATTTAATTAACGATAACCTTTCATGTATGTCGATCTAGTAACTATCAATGATTATGCAGTTATTTAAATAAATCTCCATTTCTCGGCAATTATCCACTTGCAAAATCTAATAGTCGATACATTTGTACCCCTTGTACTCATATTCTGTTTATACTTATTCAGTATCTGTGAAGCGCATATATTTGCGAAATAGCATTAATTATTCAAACTGCCATATAAGCCGAAGGTTTAATTTTAGTTTTTTTTATTCATCTTAAATTGATTTCTATATAATTTTATTATAATACATTTGGCAAAACTAAAGCATACTATTTTTAAAAATGTTTTACCAATTATTGGTAAATATTTTATATACATATGTGTTCTTATGATTATATTACTTCCTAAGATTTAATATAAATATTATGTAAATGCGATAAAATTGGAAATCCATAACTAATAACAATTAATTACGAAAACAATTATAACTCTTTCTTCAAATGCCATCATAATGAAAAATTGTTTCAATGCTGCAAATAAAATTTTGATATCTCTTGCCGCCGAAATTACATACAAAAATATGTCCATATGTTCATGTTTAAACACAAAGTAAGTAGGCATGAATGAATATAAAATAGAGAATAATTCTTTTTACTACTTACATTATAATTCAAGGAAGCAATAACAACATCTCAAAGAACAAAAGGAGCAAAAAACACAAAAAAGAAATATACAAATTTCTTGAACCTAGGTATGAAGCAGAGAATATTGCAAAATTTTCTTTGGTATGAAGCAAAAACGACTGAAGCGACGTCGGCAGAGATTTGAGTGATTTGGGTATCCAATAATAGATACCTAGAACAAAAATTCATTTCTATGGCATTGTGACTCCATAATATTCTTACTCAATTCTGTAACTAACCCATGTTTGATTTTCTTTGTATTGTACGTTTTTTGTCTATGTTATATCAGTTTGGAAAAGCTGTTATAAAAAAATGGTAACACTAGTTTACAAATAATTAAAAGTTTTGTTTTCCAAAGACGGGACTTATATTTCCCATAGGGAAATTTTCCGTAGAACTCGAAAATCACAACGATTTTCCTGTGTACCGTTTTCGAGTTACACAGGAATACCAAGGGTATATCAAGGGTATATTATAAGAAAAATAGATCCTACACACTATAAGAAGTTTGCTCAAAGTACACATAAACCTCATTATAATATATTAATTCACTTTTAATAATGCAGTTTCACGTTCGACGTCAAACGTTCATATAAAATGTAATATATTAATATTTAATAATATTAATTTTTCATTTTGAATTAAAATTTGTAAAATTTTATATAATACTGTTTAAATTTGCACTTTAAATTTTAAAAAATAAATTCGAAAAAATGATTTTTCTGATTTGTTAATAAAAACCACTATTTTGGGCAAATTTGGAAAATGGCGAATAACTTCTAAAATTTTTATTCGATTTTTATGTTAAGCCACTCGAAATGTTTGTATTAAAACAGTCTTTAACATCAATCAAAAAAAGATTTTTTTTTAAATATTTTTGTGAGAGTCCGATCACATTGAAAATCGAAAAAGTTGAAAAAAGTGTAAAAAAACATTTTTAATCTGTACATTTTCAGCTATAGCAGCGAAACTAAATAAGTTATATTAACGTTATGTAACTCAAAATGTTCGTACAAGTTTCACCTTTAATTTGATATATCACGCACTACAATGGTAACTTCAAAAATAAAGTTACGGAGCCATATGCAGGGTGATGTTTTGAGAAAAGTCAAAATAACGGTTTTTTGCAAATAACTCGAAAACGGTACACAGGAAAATCGTTGTGATTTTCGAGTTCTACGAAAAATTTCCCTACAGGAAATATAAGTCCCGTCTTTGGAAATTTTTGGCTGTGAACTAGTGTAATTATCAACATTTTGGCATAGCGAGATTAATAGGCATATTAATAAATGTTCAGTGGACACTCGGAACCATTCGATGCCTCGCTTCTGGCCCTACTTATAACTATAATAAGCCAACTGAAAGAGGGGAACCAAAAAGAGTGGGATGCTCAATACGGGATATTCACCAACCTATTCCACCCAATGTCGAGAGCTAAGGTTACCATATAACATCCATGTTCGGATCACTGCAGATACTTCACATACATCACATAATCCTAAAAGTAAGGTAATAAAAATGCAGAAAGTGTTAACACTTGTTAAACAAAATGAAAAAGTCGTGTCGACCGAACAGGCTCAGAGGAGATTGGCGTCCACAAATAGGAGATCATATGCTAATGAAATAGAATACTCTGTCTAAAGCAACTGATCATATTGTCGCAAAACTGTCACCCAAATATACGGGTCCGTACATAGTAAAAAGATTTACATAGTAACAGATAGTGAAAAATCTGTTAAGAAAACCGCACACATTAATGAATTAAAACCATTCTTTACCTAAACAGAATAAATAAAATTTTAACACTCGAAATTTTGAAAAACTTGCAAAAATTTGTAACGATTAAAATTCTATTCTTTCACATAATAATTAATTATTAATAAATTAATAATTGATTTTAATAATTAATTAGTGTTTAATAAATTCGAATGCTTTTTGAATTATCTTATATAAAAAGTTTGAACAATTATAAAAAGAAGAAACATAAATACGTTACTTTATACATAGTTGAAATGTTTATTTTTAACTCAAGTTACACCACTTAATTTTATTTGCACATGACATAATGTACATACAGAACGGTATATAATAGTATTTATTTAAAAGTATATATATATATATATATATATATAGGTTTTATATATATAATGTATAATATAATATATATATATATATAGAATATATAGATATATATATATATATAGTATAATATATATTATGCTGTATTATATATATTATTATTATATATATTATATATATATATATATTATTATTATATATATTATATATATATATATATTATTATTATATATATTATATATATATATATTTATATACGAGTAAATTATTTATATGAATAGCTTATATATTATTAACTGTAAAAAGGATCCATCAATAAATTTTAAATTCCGTCGTTCTCTTAAACTTTTGAAATTAGCCATACTTTACGATTATATATATGATAAATGTGTTCAAAATAATTGTAATATTTGCTGCATACCCAAAAATATTTTAAATTTTACATAACTTTGTCCAATTACTTTAAAGTTGAACAAACTAAATAATAAGTCACTTAATAACTTTAATCATTTAATAAGTCAACTTTCAATAATCATATTTATGCTTTAAATTGTTTCAATTTATATTACAATATAAAAAAAAAAACTAAATTAAAAAATTTTTATTTATCATTTGAATATAAAAATAATCAATTAAATAATGCCCATTAGCTAAGTTATCTAAACCGTGTTTATGAATATGTGATTAAGCAAATATATTTAACACTTTAAAATGTTTCATTCTGAAAGGGCAATAGTTTTGAATTTATTAAAAAGACGTTTTGCTTATGATCTAAGTTACATAAATTTTTATTTTTCAATTTTAAAAAGTTATTTTAAAAGAAAACACTTAATAGACCATAAAATTAATTTTTAAGCTCCCGTATTTTTTGAATATTTTATCCCTTATTTAGTTTTTCCATTTACAATCTTGTAGCGAAATTAAATTTTTCATTTTGGTCAGCTCTGTTATAAGGAAATAATACTCTCTCCAATGTTGTTCATTACTTATATAAAAAATAAAAACGGAAACAAGTATAGTTTAAGCGGGTTAACTTAGAGACAACTGATTTAGGGACAATAGTCGTTCGACAGCAGCATTTATATCACCAAATGTAGCAATCAGTGCTGAAAGAGAGAAAATATTGTTAAGAATCATCATTAAAATATATATCAAAACCGGTTATTAATTTGTATACAATGAATTTAATTTAATTGTTCAGTAACATAACAATATGTACACATAATTTAAGTTATTAGGAGAAATTACATGTCAAAAAAAATAAAATTTAATTAAATACAATATACAATTAATGTTTAATAAAAAATGAAACATTTAAATTAATTAGATACATATGGTTAGAACCTACTGGCTATATTAACAAGTTAAGAAATATAGTCACACTTCCATAACTCGAACTTCTATAAATCGAATTACTCTATAACTCGAACAAAAATTTTGTTCGGTGCCGATAGGAATATAGGGAAGTGCATTCTATAAGCCGATTTTTATTTTAAGTATAAATGTATTTTGCTGTTAGGCGAAGTCCCGTTGCTTCTTTGCGCAAATGCCAATCGCTGGCAGCGTAGTTTAAAGTAAATAAAATAACTTCCAATGCTACTTTTAACGATTATATTGAGCTTGATAATGAAATTTGTACATCAAGATCTCTTATAGATGACGATATTATTGAGCACTATAGCTCTAAATTACTGGATCCAATTCTAAGCGCAACGGAAAGTGATGATGAGGGTTCGGTGGATGTAATTGTTCATCACCCTTCCAAGAATAAAATAGAAGACTCATTCTAATTCAGAATATATATTTGCATCGCATGATATTACAACTGATGATCACTATAAGAGTATAAATAAAGTGGAATCTCTTTTTACTGAAAATAAGAAAAAAATTAAAGTCCCAAATCCTAATGTTTGAATATTTAACTTAACTATAACTTCTGTGCTTTATTTGATTGCAAATAAATAAATATCTAAAAATGTAATTCGAGTTTCTTTCAAAAATAAAAAAAAATTCTCTAACTCGAAGTCCTATAAGTCGAACCTTTTCTTTGAAAAATTGGACTTCGAGTTATGGAGGTTTGACTGTATATGACTTATAAATTAAGTAGAAATTATATATGAAAGTTGAAAAATATTTTAGTTTTTAGTGATAAACAAAAAGTTTTTTTTTTTAATACTTTGGGGATTTTAATGCAAAAATCGAAAGAGAAAGTATTTTCGTCAAATGATCTAATAACTCAGCCTCCACAAATTAACATCTAACATCGGTATAAAGCTGACAACTTGTCAAGCTATTCACATAGGGCGAAGAAGATATTAATGACAATGCCAACATTGGACGCCTTGGCACGTTAACAGCGGATGAAAACAATGAAAAAGTGTTAGAAAAAAAAATATTTTAGGTAATAAAAAAACATATGCTGATATCAAAATTGTGCATTAAAATAAAACTGAGTATCAATATAGTAAAACTGAAACTTATCAGTTGCTGTTTGTTGCAAAAAGCAGTACACCTCTCAGGATATAAAGACGGGAGTGTTTAATTATAACGGAAACCAATAAAAATTAAAAAAGTTATGCGAAATTTTAGAACAATTTTGTGGGTGACCGCAGATTTTTTCTGCTGTGTGTATATATTTCAAAAAAAATGTGTTTTTATTAATACAGTATGACCTCGATTAATGCAACTAATAGAATTCGAGGGTGTTTCAATAATCGAGGTTGTTGAAATAATCTAAAATTTTTAAATCAAATAAAGGGATATGTTATTAACACTAAGTTTATTAAAAATAATATGCAATTAAGAGTCATTGTAACTGCTTCATTTTTTAGATCTTTAACTATTACAACTTTAAGAGGTATGGAATTTTGCTCAGTCCATTGTCATTTTTGATTTTAAGTGTAATTACATGGTCACAATTTCCAAATCTGAATCGATGTCAAGTAGTTCTGCAAGAGACACATTTTCCATAGAAAATTCGTTGACTCACTCATCTATTTCTTGTTGAGAAAGAACATCTGAAATAATTTTATGATTTCATAGTATTCTTATGCACCGAGAGTGTCTTCGCAAATTCTTATGATTGAGTATAGGAGAGCAAATAAATAAATACACATAAGTGACAAATAAAATATTAAGAATGCAAAAGAGGAAAATAATTAGCAAAAGCTGCATTCTTTGCTTTAGTCAATTTTTAAAGTTTCAATATCAAAGGTAATACAAAGGTAATAATGTCTGATTTTTTAAAGTTATTTAAATTTGGCATTTTGGGTTTGTCGGATACGCTTTGTAACTTGAGTGTTATGGGTTAGCGTGACACATTAAAAACAGCACACAGCGTGTTGTGAGTGGTCATGCTTAATATGACACTACGCCTGGTTAAATATTTAATGATTATAAAAACAATTCTCCAAATCTAATAATAATCGATATCTCTTAAAATATTATCAAAACGCCACTAAGAAAAACGATGTATGACTTACTATATGATTGTATTTCACGCAACCTTATATTTTTATTTCATATGGTTCTGATTTGGATTTTAAGCTGCTGCAGCTGACTTGTGTGATTGGATATTAATGATGTCAATGGTGAAATATTCAATTTAGTTGTATTTTTTATATTTGCTGTCAATATGGCTGACATTTTAATTTCTACTGTATAACCTAATTGCAATGATATTCTTCCCTGCTATAGGAGCTCTAAGATGAATTGCTTATTTCCATTACACTGGTCGTGGATCGATGTTGGCTTAAATGTTTTAAATTGCCAATTGCATTTTTCAGCTTCGAATTATGCACATTTATTCGAATTTAAAGGCTTTAAAGGCTCAATCGCATCTAATTATGGCCATAACATAACATACTCCGCTTCTGTACCGTTGTCACATAGGTATGTTGAGTTGCGTTGCTGTCATTAGGTAATGAGTTCATTTCAATGTTATATATTAAAAACAACTTGTATCATTTGTATCATTGGTCTAAAGATTACCATGTTTTTCCATAGGTATCGGAATAACTTTGTATAGTTTTAGTTCTTGGGTGTCAAATAACGGTACAGGTTGATTGAAAAATTTTGAAAGCAAAAAAGGAAAAGTAAATTTTTTAATAAAATATATTTATATATTATATATATATAAATATAAAATAGCCTCCTGTAACTTCAATACATTTATTCTAACGATGTTAATAATCATTCAATCAATAATTTTATACTAGGGGTATTCAGGCAACTGATTCGTTGCTTAGTAGTTGATTACAACAAAAATTTGCACACAAAAATGAAACTAAGCAGGGAATCAACTATTTCGGTGATTCTCAGATTAGTACAAATTTGATTAATAGTCCCAAGTGTCGTAATAATAACTTAAAATGAACTTTTGTATAGAAATTTGTTAGCTATCTCTCTCAGCTGTTTGAATTGTGTGTAAACAATTTTGCAAACACAAGTATGTTTCACTTTTGCTGTTGAAGCGAGTGCTGCCATGGCATTTACACAAAACAAACTAATCAGATTACGCATTTTGGGTCGTTCAAGCAACTGATTAACATCAAAATGCTAAATTTTTTTTATATGAAGTTTTTGAATCAACTAAGCAACGAATCAGTTGCCTGAATACCCCTACTATTTTTGTAATAATTTTCCGCAATCTCTACAAAATACTGTTACATGGCGGTAATAACTTCTTCATTTGACGAAAAACTCTTTCCTCGAAGCAATTGCTGCAAATTTCTGAAAAAGTAAAAGTCAGAGGGAGCCACATCTGGCAAATACGGTAGGTGTTCAAGCACTTCATACTTTGATTCGTTAAATGTCGCCATTATTAAAACATTTGTGCGAACCCGTGCATTATGTGAATGAGAAATAACTTGTTTCTTCCGTAAGCCGTGTCTTTTTTCAATTATTTTTATCTAACCGATCCAAAAGGTTGCAATAATATTCAGAATTAAGTTGTTTTGCCTTCAGTAATTCTTCTTTTAAAATATACACTACTGGTTCATCGCGTTTAGTCAAATTTGGATTTCAAAAAACAATGTTAAAGACTTTCTCAATAATTTCTAGTGTTGTTGCACTATTTCGATGCCCACTACGTGATTTATCTTCAACGCTTGTACGCCCGTGTTTGTATTCCAAAACTAACAAATTACAGTTGGAAATGAATATTTTAACACATCTACATTAACACATTTGTATAAAGTTTTGTTGCTGATAAACAGATTTTTCTATTGCGACACGTTAACTGTAAATGGCTTGTAAAAGACTGAATTGACAGATCGAAATGTCACAATGGCATTTTTTAACCGATCTGTTTTTCTGCTTTTATTATCAGTCTCATTCACTCTTGTTCCCTATTACTAATAAAAGTTTTTAAATAATTTGTAATCGAGTTCTTCCTTCCCTGGTAGCCTTAACTTATTTGTGTGATGTTTTTGATACTATTAACTTCTACATGCAGCTGAGTAGGTATTTTAAACGAAGGATTCAATTCATTAAAGAATTGGCGCCGGTAAAGATTTAGTCTTCGAAATCGTCCCATCATCATGAATTAGCCTTTTATATAGATTATAAAAAGATGACCATTTCTCAATGTTCCCGTTGAAATTTGGGATTCTTATGCATTCTAGTTTAACGTTATTTCCTTCACATAATTTTTTCATTTTCATATTGATACTTTTGCACAGCTTCTGTTAATAATCATTGAAACACATACCAAATTGTTTAAATAATTTTATCAAATAATGAAATTGTTCTTGAACAATTAACAATGTCGTCAACAAACCATATTTAGTTCATATAACATTTAGGTTATATATGTGATTAGATTAAATTATTATTATCTGATTATTACATTAATTAATAACCCTTTTTGTAAACTATAAAATTCATATTTAATAAAAGTTCATGTTTCAACATTAGGAAATGTGGCGGTGCAAGTAGGCGTCAATTTTTAGAATTATGAGTTTTTAAATTTTGGGAGAAAATACGTTTCCGATATGGTTCCGAGTAAAACTGAATAAAGTAAAGAGTCCGAATATCCTTTGCCAAAATAATCAGTTATGGATCCTATGGAGTTTCGGGTATATCTACAATTTCGGGGAAATTTGCTAGGAAACAGGCAACATTGGCGTGTATAGCCCCGCAACCACTATGCCTTAATTTCCATTCACGCATTTAGAAAAAAAAAGGAGAAACAAAGAAAATTATACTGGATTAATCTATCATGGCTACTATAATGGAAATTGCTTATAAAGAATTTCATCCTAAAACGATTAAAATAACCAATTTTACTATTTATTAAAATTCAAAACTTTTTGACACATAAAAATATTAATAAAACATTGCTATATCTCTGATATATGGGTTTGAATGTGTCATCATTTTTGCGAAAATTCAATTTAAATAAAATTAAAATGGCAAAAAAACACGTAAATTGAAAAACGAATAACCAAAATCAACATATCAAATAAAGTTTTTTTTGTCAACTTTTTACTTAAAAACTTATATACATAATCTTATTTGTTATTGTCTTAACCACCATAAAAAAAACAACAAAACCTACAATTCTTCATAACGGGTTAGGATAGGATAGGAATAAACGGGGTACTAGCTCTCAACTGAGCGAAGCACTGAGACCATGATTGATTTGTGCTTCGTGCTGCAACAGACCCTAACCGAACAGAAGACATTCTGCCTTCCGAATGAAGGCCAGAATGTCGGCCGTTGAGGACCTTCTAATATCAGAAGAGGAGAGTAGTTCTTGACTCAGTGACCTCCTCCTGGCCCAGATCAAGGCTGTGCAATCATAGACAATGTGACTGAAAGCCTCGTCTGCTTCTAAGCAGAGTGGACACTCCAACTCTTTGGACAAACCTATTTTATTAAGGTGATAACGCAGTTGACCCGATAACCCATGATGACCCGTTAAATATCCTACCAGCAATCTCAACTATATGCTGCTGAAGAGGGATACCTTACTATAACTGTAGGGGCGAACCCGCTCTTTAGCCTGACGGTTAACAGGAATGTCGCCCCAGTAGCGACTTCTTTCGCTGAAAATCATTTATCAATCAGAGACCTAGTTGTAGACCAGTTAATCCACAATATGGCTTCGGTTCGCAGATTTGAATGGCAGATCCTGCTCTCGCAAGACTGTAGGTAGACTCATTACCATTGATTCCAGTGTGACCAGATACCCAGCAAAGCATAACTTTGATTTGGTTGCCAGATGCAGCAGTGTATCATAGCAGTCTAATAGAAGCTTTGAGGAAACCTTCCAGGATGATAATGCTTTGATTGCTGCTTGACTATGTAAGTAAATACCCTTTATAAATGTTGACACGAGCAGACCTCGATGGCGTGAACCTCTGCTTGGAAGGCAGTGGGCCATATACCCTGTAGTGTCATATCAGACCATGACCACACGCAGTTGGTCACCATATGTATGTGAACTGTTAAGAAATTATATTGTTGACCAATGACGTAAGTATATAGAAATTAAGAAATATTGTAACCAATAGAATTTAAGTAAATACTTAAATGTAAAGTAAAGTATTGTAAAAACCGAACTGTTATCGGTATGAAAAATATAATTGTAAGTGCAGTTATGAAAGTAATCTTGGTGTTCTCAAACGGGTTCTTAAATACAGTTATTAATGAGAGTTCTAAATGTAATCATAAAGAGTGGACACGGAGTCCCAAAATAAGTCTGAATATCAAATAGCAAGAAATGTGTTTGAATTTATGTAGTGACTTTACCCCAGAAATGTGTTTGCATATATAAGTAGTGACTCTACCCTACAACCCAGCGCGACCGAGATTTTGGTGTTAGGACAAATATTGCAGCACCAACTCGTTTGGTTTTTGAACCGTCGGTGTACCATGAAGTCACTTTTGGTTCTATTCTAGAAGTGCCATTTTCCCAGTCCAATAGATTGCGAATGAGAACTTCGAATTTTCTATCGAAGAGAAGTTCCATGTTCTTGCGATCTGTCCTACCGCAGATCTTTATATCAGGAACTAGTCTGCAGATAGAGTTTTAACTGTTGCGACTTCCATGCATAACAAGGTGTAGTCTAGCTGCATTCAAAGCTGCAGTTTTTTTAATAAGGATATGCAGAGGGGTAAGACCCACTATGGACTCCAGTGCTGATGTGGGACATGTTCTAATAGTTCCCGTCATATTGATACATACGAGTATTTGCAGTTTATTGCATTTGAGTATTGCAATATTTAGTTGTGCCTTATTTCACCAAGCAAGAGCTGCATAGGATACAGTGGGTCTAGCCATTGTACTACCATATGAGTTCCTACATGTCCACATGACCCGAGTAGCTTTGCCAATTATATTATCCAGGTGAGCGTTTCACTTAAGACGATTATCTAGGGTAACCCCTGAATACTTGACTAATCGGAGCATTCGATAGCCGCATCTTTTATAGATAGGGACCCAATATTTAGTTTGTACCTTCTGGAAAATTGTACAATTACAGGTTTTTTGGGTTAATACTTAGACTTTCTTTTACACATTAGTACGACACTTTATGTAAGGCCACTTGCATTACATCAGTAACTGGGGCATCAGATTAATCGGAAACAATGATTGCCAGGTCATCTGCATAACCTATGGCATAGTAGCCAGATTGCTATAGTTTAACTAGTAGATCATGGATTACCAGCGCCCATAGCAATGGTAAGAGAACCCCACCCTGAGGGCAGCCCCGTATAGCACTAATGCTGATGAGAGTGCTGCCTAACTTGGAAGATATGAAGAAGAAGAATCAATAAATGAAGAAGAATCAATAAATGAAGAAGAATCAATAAAGATGCAACCAAACTTCCGATTGACGGCGAAAGCTACAGTCTTATAACGAATAATTAAAAAACTAATTATGTCAATTTAGTTAGATTATATTTATTTATAATTAATGCATAAAATTAAAATTGTAAATTTAAAAAACCTGTATATAATGACGAAGAAAATGCTACTATTACTACTACAAGACGAAACTTATAACTCACTTCCCAGCACAACTAGTTAAAACGCATTTTCATTCAAAATTTAACTTAACAAGTTCGCAATTTCCTAAAGCATTGAAAAAATGATTCAAAATAATAAATAAATATTGTACATTTAGAACTAGCACGATATGTGTCTGAATTATATACTGAATGGAAAAAATTATAGATCAAATTTCTATCTAAAAATCGTTGCGTTTAACACCGAATATTTTTATATTTTTTAAGAATACGTTATCAAAATAATTCAAAACCCAAGACATTTTATTTTTAATTGGATTTAATCGTATCATCTATTACTACTTAACCAACTACTTACTCAAACTCTACTTCCCGAAATGATTACATTTGAAGCGAGAAAAAAGAGGTCAAACTGATATAGAGGAAAGGAGTTATATTTCATTATATTAACGCTAGTCTGCATATTTGCTTGATTACATGGCATAAATAGAAGTTTTGATGAATTTGCTGCATAGTCTTAACACTACATCATCAGATTGTGATTTGCTCTGATTTTTTTTATAAATCATACTGAGATAAAATTAATCTCAAAAGAGAATAATATTTTTTTTTAAAATAATGTTTTAACATATTTTACAAAAGAAAAATTAAAAAAAAAATCAAAGTCTCAGAGCATAAGAGTTAAGGGACACAATTTTCCATGAGGAGGTGAGAAATAACATCAAAAGGGTTTTAAAAAAAAATGACTTGCCAAAGTATAGGTCATTAAAACAATAAATTATACAAATATTTTTGAATAAATTAGTTTTGTTTAATAAAAACAAAGGATATATATATATTGGAATATTTATTCAAATTTCTGTTGTGTTTAAAAATTCTAGGAGTATGGCCTAAAAATTCATTCACCAAGATCACTTTTAATAATTTTATGTAAAAAACACCAAGTAGTATGAAGAGAATATAAGCCTGTTTAAATTTTCTTTTACAAAAATTCACTGTAGTTCTTACCTTGCAAGTTAGCTTCTCGATTAGCAAATCCCATAGCAGACAATTGTTCTAATTGTGATTGATAGCGTACTTCAGGAGGTTGATTATTATCGCCAGTTGTTGTTACACCATTGAGCATGCGTGTCATAAAGTCGTTAAAAAGTTGTGCATTAGGTCCACCGCTTTGAGCAGCACTTGGATTAACTGAAGCATTACTATTTGTGGCATTTGAAGAAGAATTGGTATTTCCGACTGAAGGTGGTGGTATACCCAATGATCCGACTAGTCCAGGTGCGGCAGATCGTAATTGCTCCATTCCTTGTTGTATTTGCAAAATTGCATTAAGCGCCTCTGGATTAGAGAGCATATTCATAACATCTGGATTTTGCATTTGATTTAAAAATTGTGGCATCATTTGCCGCATTTGTTCCTGTAATTGTGGATTATTTGCTAACATTGGACTAGTACTGATTAACCGAGCAGCCATATCTGGGTCTTGTGCCATGGATTCCATCATAGATCGTGTGTAAGGTGCATTTAACATATTTTGCATTAGTGATGGGTTTTCTGCCATTTGCTGAATTAAACTCTGCATAGCTGGCGTATTAAGGACACCGGCAGTAGGCAAATTGGTGTTATTTTGACTGGTTGTATTTGAATTATTACGACTACCCCAAGGATTAGGCAGAGGTTCTCGATTCTCAGTGCCTATTTGTGGATTGCTACCACCTAAAATGAAATAATTTTTTTATTCTTTATTTATATAGAAAAACCACTTATTTACCGCTAGAGTTATCCATTAAGCCAGAAAAAGGATTACGTGCAAACGTTTCGTTAGCAGCATTTAACATTGGTTCTTGTATATCACGATAAATACGTTGTAATGCGTTATAACCTCCAGGAACTGACTCTAAATTTGACATAGCTCTATCATGGGAACGCATTAATTCCTGCAGCATTGATGGGTTACGGGCTAACTCCATTGTTTGACGTAATAACTCAGGGTTATTCAACATATGAGATATTTCTGGATTGCGTTGCATTAAATCTTGCATTTGAGGATTTGAAGTTATTAGTGAACGTACTGTTTCCGGATTATTCATCATTTGTTGTACCAGTGGATTATCAAGCATAGTTCGTAACAAATCGCCATTGTTTAATAATTCAGTTTGCATACGGGCTTGTAAGTCCATGTATGTGCCTGAACCTGCGCCAAGAGCATCTAGCCCTGCAAGACCACCTAATTGATTAAGTCCAAATGGAGTTTGACGCACATCAGCAGCAGGACGACTTGCTGGTTCTGCACTTCGAGTCGGTGCCTTAATGACTAAATGTACAGAAAGACCATCCTTGATATTATGAGTTTTAAGGGTATCAGAATCCTTCATTATTTTCCCAGCAAAAATAAGCACCAATTGTTCTGGTTCTGATTCAAATTTTTTAGCAACTAGTGATTTAAACTATAAACAAAAATCAAGTATCTGTTAACATTTTATAATTTTTTTATCTTAATTTCTGAAAGTAATTTACCATATAGCAATTGTAAAAGTGATTGAAAAATAATCTAATAAAATTTAAAGACCATACTAGATAAAATAATTATTTGCTTGTATACCACATGTAGGAAGCAGTTGGAATAATTTTAACGTTTTTTATATTTGGATTTGCAAATATAAATCAAAGTACTGAGTGCTGGTTATATTTTTAATGATTACATTAGATTATTAATTAAGAAAGTTCAAATATTTCATAATTGATTTTGCTATTTCCTCATAAGAATAAATAATTTCATATGCAGTACTTACTTCTTTTATGCTAGACTCCTCATTGACTTCAATCGCTTTTTTATCTTTTGTTGTTTTTACATTAACAACAATTTGTTTTTTACCACCCTCTGCCATTTTAATGTCAAAAATTCAAATTAATTTATGAAATAATCTTAGTGTGAAATAAAATTACAATGCTCAAGATTTAATCAAAAAACTTGTTCGTCACTTTTGCAATACACTTTGTTTGCCAGAAGAAACTGAACGATGAAGAGTAGACAAATCGAAATCTTAACGAAAGTTTTTGACTGCTGTAACAAAAATTCGGAAAAAGATTTTGGTCTTTCCAAGTACTAAATTAAATTTATTATCCTTTATGTAAGTAAGTTTTAAAATATTAATTGTAAAATAAAATGCATTTCTATTTAATAAACGTTCGTTTACACATAATCTTTCGAACAGTTTACTATTCTTCAACAGAGGGCTCTACTAAAGTTCATGTGCAAGGAATACCTTACAAGAACGGCCACTCTATTGTGAACTAAGATTTATTTTTTCGAACAAGAACAATTTATATGTGCGTGAAGATAACTTCGACGATAAGTCCAAAATGAAATTGAAATATTTTTCACCGCATGAAAAATGCAGTATTTGTTATTTTATTAAAATTAATTCGGGAGCTAGCATTTTTAGTTAGTAAATTGAATTAATTTACTATTTCCATCAAACTTTTTTTGTGTAAATGATGTAATTTGTATGAAAAACGAAAAATAAAAATTAATTAATTTATTAAGAACTTTTAAACTAGATATGCCATTTTTTCTTTTATTTGAAAGAAAGAGGAAAAAAGAGGATAAAATTATATTTCATATAATGTAAACATATGTACAGGTTTAGGAGCAGTGCTGCGATGAAGTATGAGATGTCATTTTTAAATATTAATAAATTAAAACTTTATTACTAAATCAAAAATGATAAAATAAAAAGCATAGAACAGTAAAATATATACTTGTTTTTCTAAATATAATCAGTTTTCATATAATATAGAAAAAGTTTCTTCAATATATGGAATATATAAAATATATAAAAAAATATGGAATATTCCAATATATGGAATATATAAAATTTTGTAAAAAAATTACATCACAAAATTAATTATAACTTTAACAGCAGAGATGCCAAATTAGCAAATTAGCTTAATTGAAAGAGGATACTGCAAGTTTTGATTTCGTGTATTTATATCTATTATTATTAGTTATTGAGTGTCAAAGTTCAGATATAGATTTTCTTTTAAAAACGACATTTTTCTTATAAAGGCATATACCAGAAGTCAGAAAGCAGTTAATATAGAAAAAACTTTGAATATAATATTCTAATAATCACAATTATTTAAAAAAATTAGAAATTATTTTAATTATATTAATTACTCAGAAATTTTGTATAGACTTTGTTAATAGATGGTGTGTCATTTTAAATTAAATTCACTGAAAAATTCAATAGATGCTAGTGGCACTAAAAAATCAGCGTACAGTTGAAGAGTTATTGACAAGCCCGTAGGATTGCTAAAGAAAAGCTAACGTCAAATTTTTATTAAGTTTACTGCATTGAAGATATTATCCAAAATTAGATTCTTTGCAATCATCACTAAGTATGTCAATTTGTGTAGTGTAAAAACCTATAGCCTCCCTGATTCCTCTTAAGTCTATCATGATATAGTCACCGATAGTGGGTCGGTACATTAAAGGAACAGACAAAGCAAAAGCAATTATTATTAGAACAAGGAATCATACGCTCTTTGTGCAATCCACCTGGTCAAAAATAAGGCAGATGTCTTCTGTGATTTTAGGAAGCTGAACGCTTAAACAAAATAAAACAAAGGCAGATGCCTTCGGTGATTTCAGGAAGCTGAACGCTCAAACAAAACTAGATCGGTATTTGATACCATACTTAGGCTAAGGGACGGACAAGCTATATGCCAGTAGATTGTTTTAAAAACTTGACATTCACAGAGCATACTAAAACACACCAATGCTAGCTGAAGATATATGCAAAACCCTTGTTAGTACACTCATTAGGTTGTTTGAATTTGTGGTAATGTTTTTTGGTTTGAAAAATGCAACGCAAACTTTTTAACGATCAATACCGTTGTTAAGATCAATGCCATTAATTGGCTGCTACCAAAGTGATATCTTGATATTTTCACAAAGTGAGCGGCAAAAACAGTACTGCCTCTATTGAAACAAATAGAGGCAGTATTAAAAACACTAAAGGAATCCAAGCTTATCATAAATACTGCTAAATGTAAGTTCGAAGTTTAGTAAATAATTTTTTTAGGGTATGTCATATCTTACCTACAGAATGAAAGCAATTAAAGAATATGCGAAACCAAAAACAATTAAAGAAACTCGTCGCTTTTGTGAATTCTTAATTATTACCGCAAATGCATTTCGCAAGCAACTAAATTGCAAGCTTCGTTAAACGAAAAATTCAATAATAAATGATAAAACACCGATAACATGGACCTCTATGTTAGAGAAGGCATTCAAAAGCTGTAAGAAAAGCGTAACTGAATTATCTAAATTAACATTTTTTTCCCCGCCAAGTACATTAGGATTGACATCAGATGCATCTAGCAGTGTAGTTGGTATAGTACTAGAACAGTAAGAAAGCGTTGTATGGGGTTCAGTCGCATTTTTCTCATCGAAGGTTAAGGCAGCACAACAAAAAAAATACAAAAAGTATCTACAGGTATAATTAGACCGTATATTCCGGCGTCACTGTGTTTTGTATTTTCATTTTCTTCAATAGTCGTGGGTACTTTTATTTAATTTTTTTCACTATACCTCTAATACCATTTTAGTAATAACAAACCAATAAGGAAATGTCCAATTGTTTGGTTATAAATTCTTTATGCACAAAAAAAATTATTTCTTATTCCAAATTTTGCTAAAAACTAGGCTAATTGCAATAAACAAAAAAAAAAACACCACGTGTTTCTTTTTTTCTTACATTCAAAAAAAGTATTTTTTTTCTTTTTTATTGATTACAAGTCACTTTAATTCACAATGGTTTTTTCTTTCAATCATTAAATTTGACTTAGTTATGCCAACTGAACGCCCTGAGATATCAGGCTTTAAAACACATGTTTATAGGAATGGAAGGAGGTCCAATGGAACGAGTCTGCAAGTCTCAAAATCATGTCCGAATGGACTGTCTAATTAGAAGAAATACGTCGTACTGCACTCACTGTGGCGAATATGTGTTGTAAACTAGACTCATAGTAACGGTGGTATGGCGTGATATTTACATACCAATAGAGTTGTTTACTCCAGTTTTAAGAAATTGTGAAGATTATGGAGTTTGTAGTAACGGCTGTATGGAGTACTATTTGCATGTCAATATAATTGTTGCTAGTTCTCACCAAATTTGGGATCGGTAAAGATTCTGAATTTGGAGGTAAAGGCATGTGAGTTGCTTGAGAAAAATGTGGTAGCAGTTAGTTTTCAATATCAGCACGAGTAGGAGCTACGATTCTACTAGATTAAAGATTAGAAGAATTGAATTAAAGAGTTTAAAAAACAAATAAATTAAAGAGAGTTTACGAATAAGTGAATTAAACTCTTAAGTAAATAAGTAAAATGTGTAACAGGAGAAAGTATATATATATATATACAAGGTGAGATGAAAAAACTGCAACAAAGTAAAACGCCATAATTTTTTCATTTTTTTTAAATTTTATTGAATGAAAGCAAAAAATGTCGGAAATAACATCAAATTTGAGAATCGGTTTAGATTTGTTCGAATTGGCCACCTTTGGCCCGAAAGTGGCTCTGCGGTATTTTGTCCCATTCTCGGCGAAGCGCTTGCTTGAGATGATCGACACTTTGGTATTTTTTAGTTCCAACCTTGCTTTCCAAAATACCCCAGGCACAATAGTCCAACGGATTGGCATCCGGAGATTTTGGTGGCCATTGTGCGGTGGAAATGAAGCGAGGAACCTCATTTCTTAACCATTCTTGGATGGCGCGTGCTGAGTGCGATGGTGCTGAGTCCTGTTGGAATGTCCAAGGTCTGCGGCCGAAATGTTTGCGTGCCCAGGGCTTCAGAACTCCCTCCAAAATATTTTCGCGATAGATTTGCGCATTTAATTTGACACCACGGTCGATGAATACGAGCGGCGAGCGACCATCGGCTGTTATGGCGGCCCACACCATCACCATGGCCGGCTTTTGAGTTGTGATGGCCAACCGAAGTTGCAAATTTTCAGCTGACCTCTCTGGCAAGTAAACACGATCATTTTGTTTGTTTACAAACTGCTGGATAACGAATGGTTTCTCATCGGAGAAAACCAAATTCGGCAGTTCACCACTTTCGGCCAAGCGAAACAACTCTTTAGCTTTTTCGAGTCTAACTTTTTTTTGCGCATCAGTAAGATCTTGCACTTTTTGGAACTTGAATGGCTTTAGTCCAAGCTCATTTTTCAATATTTGCCGAATGGCATATTGCGATATGTTCAGCTCACGAGCCATTTTTCGTCCACTGCGACGCGGATTTCGTTCAATTCGCTTTTTCACTTTTCGAACCATTTCTGCCGATGTTGCTGTTTTTTTTCGTCCACTTCCTTGACGTCGGGCTACGCTACCAGTATCATGGTAACGAGCGATGGTACGAGACACAAAACATTTATTCACTTCTAAATGCTGGAGGGCTCTAACGATAGCCACTTGTGGTTTTCCAGCCAAATGCAAAGCAATCACACTATCACGCTTGAATTCCATCACAAATAACTTTTTTTTTGAAAAATTCCCACCAAAATGCTTTTGTGCGCTTGTAAACAATATAATGAGCTGTCACTAGAATAAATCTGACAGCTGTGGGACGAGCGGTTTAGAAATGACAGCAGTCTGAAGTTGGTTGCAGTTTTTTCATCTCACCTTGTATATATCTATATATATATATACATATATATATAAAATAAAATTTTATATATATAAGTAGAATAGTTAAAAATTATATAAGAAATAAGTAGAATAGTTTTTAAGTGGACTATTTTTCAATAAAAAATGTATTTCGAATGACTAATTAATATTTACGAATGTATAAATTAAATTCTTAAGTAAATAAGTAAAATGTGTAATTGAAGAAATTATATATGTAGATTTATATATATATATATTGAGAAATAAGTAGAACAGTCTTTTAAGTAAATTGTTTATCAATAGAAAATGTATTTCGAAATTACTA